ACTGTATACAGAAAAGCGGTTTATCTAGTTCACAGATCTGGAAGTCCCTTTGGTGAGGGCTTTCAGACATCCCAGCATGGCTGGTGGAATCCTGCCCGGAGCACACACAAAAGGCAGCGTTCACAGGAGGAGACAGGAAAGGAAGGAAGATTCCGAGGGCAGAGCTGCTCTCATTGCAGCAGTTTATTGTCGTGGGAACTGACTGAGTCCCTCCCATATTCCTTCCTTCTGAGGGTGGCGCCCCCTAATGACTAATCAGCTTCCAACAGACTCTGCCTTTTAAAGGTTCTACCACCTCAGGCCCACCACACTGGGGTCTGCGTTTCCAGCACATGAACTTTGAGGGCACACTCAAACCCTAGCAGAGGACGGAACTAAATCTGAAGCTACTGATTCCTTTTGAAGCTAATATATAAATGGAATTCAATTTCAATCAGTCCTCTAGGCTTCAGCTTAACTGAGACCAAACTGTCGGCAAATATCAGAAAGAAATGCTTTAGCAAGAATAGTAACGGGACTTCTGTCATACACTATATGTATTGCATAGCTGTACTGGTCAAAAAATGTGTATGAGGCCGGCGCCGCGGCTCAATAGGTTAATCCTCCGCCTTGCGGCGCCAGCACACCAGGTTCTAGTCCCGGTCAGGGCGCCGGATTCTGTCCCGGTTGCCCCTCTTCCAGGCCAGCCCTCTGCTGTGGCCCAGGAGTGCAGTGGAGGATGGCCCAAGTGCTTGGGCCCTGCACCCCATGGGAGACCAGGAGAAGCACCTGGCTCCTGCCATCGGACCAGCGCGGTGCGCTGGCTGCAGCGGCCATTGGAGGGTGAACCAACGGCAAAGGAAGACCTTTCTCTCTGTCTCTCTCTCTCTCACTGTCCACTCTGCCTGTCAAAAAAAAAATTTAAATTTAAATTTAAAAAAATGTGTATGGTATTGGCATCAAAATCGAAAAAAATCACTGAAAGAGTAAGGATTTTTCACATTAATTGAAATGTAGATTTATTATAACTCACGGGGAGAAGATGGCATATTCAAAAAAATTGTCATAATCGATAATGTTGAAAGAAAGTAGAACTGAATGCCAGCAATGTACCATCTATGTGAATAACTTCCAAACGGGTAATAAATCTGAATTTAAAGTCAAATGTCAAATAAAAGGAATATTAAGAGAAAGCTTTGAACCATATCCATAGACTCTGAATTGAGGGAGATCGCTTTTAATTTTTTATTAGCAAGTAATAATTGTACATCTTAATGGGATCCAATACAGTGTTTTAATACATTTATATATTGTGTGTTGATCAACTCAGGATAACTTACATTAAGTTAGTCAATTTGAATAATTTTAGACTTAGAGAAAAGTTGTAAAAGGCATACTCACCATCCTGTTGTCCCAAATGTTAGCATTTTACAAAACCATAGGACAATTTCAGAACTCAAGAATTAACACTGACATGCAGTGTGAACTAATCCACTGACGTCAATATTGGGATTTCAGTAGGTTTTTCACTAATGTCTTTTTTCTGTTCTAGAATCCAATCCAGATCCCACACTGTGTATAGATGTCATGTCCTCCTAGTCTCCTCAAACTGCGATAATTCCTAAGTTGTACCCTAGGAGGAAAGAGACTGCTAATATGATATGCTCATCTCTGTACTGGTATATACATAATATTGAGAATTTTTTCCTATTTATATTTTGATTGACATGTAATACTTGAACATTTTCTGGTATAAATTACAAAACATCAATACATACACAGGATTTATTTGGTGTGTCTTATTACTAGCATGTTAGCTTTGATCCTGACTAAGGTAATGTCTGTCAAGTATCTCTAGGGCAGCATTACCATTTATCTGTTTGTCATTCATAAATAATATCTTACAGAAGCTGGTTTGAGACTATGTTGTAGAGACTCTCTTTCTCATCACACCCTTGAGCTGGCAAAGTATGAGATTTTGGAGGAAACCTGTCAGGCCATCTCTTACACCATTGCATGCAATCAGATGGTCCAGGGATGATGACATCGAGAGAACTGACAGATGGACAGGGAAAGCAGAAGAAATTCATTTTCTGTGACTATAGGATTTTATGATTACCCAGGTTGGAGAGAAGTGATAGGGGTAGGAGAGGGAGGGAAGGAGGGAGGGAGGGAGGGGGAAGGGAGGGAGGGAGGGAGAGAGAGAGAGAGAGAGAGAGAATGAATATGAATGAGAAAGAATAAGAATTAATGTTGCACCAAGAAAGAGAAACATCTTATTGAGATGGAGAGGGAGAAGTCAAAGAAGCATTCACTTTTTTAATCTTGAATGACTTGGAGAACAGGGAAGTTTTACAAAGAAAATGGTTTGGTTTCTAATGAATTTGAGGGACCAGTGAAATGAACAAATGGACATAACATCAGGGAGTTGTGGACTGAAGGCTAAAAAGTAGACTACAGAGGTTAGTAACTTTTGTGAGTGTGGAAATTGCCTGTAAGAAAGAGCTGAGCTAAGGACAGATTCGGAAGAATACTCAAAGGGTGTTGCAAAGAGGAATCAGTGAGACAAAAAAGTAGTGGGGAGGTGAGGAGTCCAGATCACAGTGGTATCAAGCATACCACACAGTGATATCAAGGATGAAGAATAGGTCAAGATGGCAGCTATGAGCAGATATGTCAACTAAGACCAGGAAGGCCAGTGATTTGGTCATTAGAAGATAATAACTTTTTTTTTGTAAGGGAAAGGGTTTATCGGGGGAAACCTGACAGACCAGAGGGAAGGGGCGAAGAGGGAAAGGAGGGAGGAGAGTGTAAGAGAGAGATCCAGAGAGAGATCAAGAGACAGAGAGAGACAGAGAGGAAGAGAGATCAGGAGATGGAGAGAGAGAGTGATAATGACTTTCATAACTGTGGTTTACACAGCGACAGGATCCAGATTTGGGTAAGGAATAAGGGAGTGCATAAAATGGAGTCAATGATGAAGTGAGAAATGGACAATATTCATGAGCAGTTCAACAAGGAATTGTGCTTGATGATAATGTTGAGGGACCTCTCTGCGACCCTTTGTGTATTAATTTCTATTATTATATATTAACAATACTAACAGAAGTACTAACGGTTCTCAACACCAGGTAAGCAACATAATTTAAAGGTACCAAAGTTTGATAAATGCAAAAGTGTTTGAACAAAACATGTTTCAGCTGCTTAGCTTTGATTTGAAAATCCCCCGATTTAACAAAGAACCAGAGGGGGCAGCACTGTGGCATAGTGGGTAAAGCTACCGCCTGTAGTGCCAGCATCCCATATGGGCACTGGTTCAAGTTCGGCTGCTCCACTTCCAATCCAGCTCTGGGCTATGACCTGGGAAAGCAGTAGAAGATGGCCCAAGTGCTTGGGCCCCTGCACCCGTGTGGGAGACCCAGAAGAAGCTCCTTGTTCTAGCTTTAGGTCAGTGCAGCTCTGAGCATTACAGCCATCTGGGGAGTGAAGCCCAGCTGGAAGTGATCCCAGCAGATGAAAGACCTCTCTCTCTCTCTCTCTCTCTCTCTCTCTCTCTGCCTCTCCTTCTCTCTCTATGCAACTCTGACTTTTAAATATTTAAAAAAAAAAGGGACCAGAGGATAAGGGCCATGTTCATTCCTAATGTAAAAATAAAATTCATCTTGAATAAGAGATGTATTTGTGACAGCAAAATTCGTCCATTTTGAAATAGGAAATATCCTTGGTGGAAGAGGGACCAGTCAGAGAAAAACGTCACTAGCTGGAGGTCAGAAGAACACTTGGTGTAATGGGTAGGGAGCAGGCAAAGCCTCCTGTTGAGGAGCAGTGGTAGTGCTGCAGGCTCTGTGATTGGGGAAAGACTTTACAGACGGCTGAAATAGAATGTCTCTGGGGCACCAGGAAACATGGGAGCAGAGTGGCTGATGCCCTCACAAAGCTGGGGAAATGCTTGGTTCATACTCCTTTCCAGCCTCCTGTTACCTCCGCCCTGTCCCCTACCCCCTTGGACTCTACACTGAATCTGCACCAAATCCGTCCCCAGCCCTGTGTCCTTGCAACTCCTTCACATGCGGGTCACCCCATGTCTTCACACTGCAGGTTCCCTCAGCGAAGAATTTTCTTCCCTGGGCAGTGGGAGGACAGGCCTGTGCGCCTCAGGCCATTTTCTGTGCAGCAGCTGAGAGAAACCATCTGCCCAGTCCAGGGTGTGGTGCAGAATGGGCACTCAATAGATACCAGGCCCCTCGGAGAATTCTGAGTGTTTTAAGATCCACGCCAAGGGTCTGCTTCCCTCTGAAAAGTCCCCTGTGCCCCATGGGCCCATGACTTGGTCACCACAGAACTCACTGTCCAGCAGATGTTGGTTCCCAGCTCTGTCTCCACTTTCAGACTGCAGGTTTGTTTGAGACTGCTGTTGCCTGGCTGGGAGGGAGGAGCCCTAGGGGCATGGGAGCCCCAGTGACCCTGTGGGAAGCAGGGTTCTCGTCTCCCAGAGTGGCGGAGTCAGAACAGGGTGCTGGGTGTGACCAGACTGCCACCCTCTCTTAGCTTCTGAGCATCCACAGGGTTCTGACACCTGCAGGAAGACCTGCCTTGCACACGAAGACTGGGAGTGGATCTCCAGGTCAGGAGGCTCTTGGGTTTGGCCATCACACTGACCACTGAAATCCCCCATGCACCACACCACTGGAGCGTCTCCTGGGCCTCATAACCCCTCTGGGGAGGTCCATTCACCTCCCCCGGGATCCGGTTTCTCCCGGGTCTGACCCCAAAGCCTTCTCCTTTCCCAGACACCCTCATTTGTCTCCCAATGCTGGCAGTCGTTTTAAAAATAAAGGGTAAACCATGTGCTGGGAGTGTGGGTCAGGGCATGGGATTCCCCTTCCAGATCACTTGATGGTGTTTAAATGTGAAATATTGGTATTTACTTTTAAAAGGTGAAAAAAATCTGAAGATTGCCACTTTAAATTCCTGTGTGTTGAGGTGTGAACATCCCTCTGTATTCTTGTTGTCTTTTCCAGAGCTCTCAGGGGCTGTGGTCTCACATCTTGCACTGGGGCACCAATGGACCATTTCCAGCAGGGATGGTGCAGGGCTGACCCGGATGCCTGACTGCACCCATCACCTCCAGAGAGCTGCACACCTGGAAAGTGAGTCCTGTGTGCATGGGGCCCCGGGGACAGTGCCACGAGGATAGGTGCCATCAGTGTCTCTAACAAAAGTGTCTAATGGTTTTGGGAACAGGCAACCTGATCAGGCCTAAAACCCGGTAATGTCGTCTCCCCAGTGAAGTCCCCGGGAGAGAATCATGAAATGTATCTCCTATTACATTAGGATGTGAGTTTAGAATAATAAACGTGGATCTGAAAAAGAACGTGACTGTAGTGATTGACAAGTGATTTGATTTGAGCTAGTGCAAAACTACTTTGTATCTGTTGCCATCTTTTGCAAGCATGATTAGTTTCAACAGTAATAAAAGTATAAGAAAAATAGCCCTATCATATTAACACACTAGTTGTTTTCATGTGTAACATTTTCTCTTAGTTCTTCTCCAAAAATAGAACCTTCATCTAGTTGATACTCGAATGTAGTTATTTTCTCTAAGGGTTTTTGCAACAAACATTTTCATTTACTTTTTTGCTTTTTATCTTGGAAAAAGTTCAAATCTACAAAAAGGTTGAAAGCATAGAACATGAACACTGGTATGCTCTCCACCCAGATTTAGTAATTGCCTACCTACATCTGAACACACAGGGAAAGATTGGACATTTGTATTTGTGTGTGTGTGTGTGTGTTATGTGTGTGCATGTCCAATTTTTTATCTAAAATATTTGGAAGTAAGTTCCACTCATCATGACAGCCTGTGGCATATATCTGGTAAGCACATAGCTGTCTTCTGCTCAACTGTGGAGCCATTATTACTGTGAAATTAAACATTGAGAGAGTAACGTCATCCAGTTTACTTCCCCTTTTCAAATAATTCTGCGTGCCCCCAAATTATTCCTCAAAGCTGTTTCCCCCTTGTTCAGCATTCAGTCATCACACACTGATTTGGTTATGGTTCTTTCTATCTAAACCAAAACTACTGCTTCTGTTTTTATCGTTCATGATGTTGCCCTCTTTGAAGAACCTAAGGCAGTGTGTGGTAAAGTATCTCAGAATCCGGATTTCTATAACTGTGTCTTCCTACTAAGATTCCGCTGACTGTTTCGCCTGTTTCTCTTTACACTGCGTCCGTGAGCACAGTGTGGCGGTGCATCTGTTGTTGGTGATGGCAAGTGTGCTTACTTGGTGCAGAGGTTCCCTCCAGAGCTCTCCTTTATAAAGTGACCTTTTCCTTCTGACTCCTTGTAATTGATGAGTTAGTTGGTGGGATGAACTTTGAGGCCATTAATTGTTCATTGTCACCCAGTGGCTTTAGCATCCCGTCATGATTGCATTGTGATTTTTCACTCACTGCCTAATCAGGCCCAGGACTTTCTTTCTTGTCACACAGTCCTTTATTTTTCACATTTCCCATGATTGTGAGATCATCACACAAGGGAATATGTGGGGCAGTCAAGAGGAAGACTCTGAAATTAGACTGTCTAGGTCTGCACCTTGTCTGTCTTACACCGACTGGCTGACCTTGAACAATGCGTCACCTCACAAACCCTCAGTGCTTTGATATTTCAGTTAGGAGACTGAGGGAGGCCATTTGCCCTAATGACTAGGATGCCTGTTAGGATGTCCTGGTCACATGTTGGATCACCTGGGATTAAAACCCCGCTCCTGTTCCTAACTCCAGCTTCCTGCTAATGTGGACTCTGGGAGGAAGCAGTGGTTGCATTCCCAACTTCTGGCTCTGGAACCCTAGCCATTGTGGGCATTTGGGAAAGAACCAGTGCATGTGAGATCTTTCTCTCGTGCTGTCTCTCGCCCATTCTCTCTCTTTCTCAAATAAATTAGGAGACTAAAAGGGACAGTGGCATGAGGTGTCTGGTACGGGGTAGGGCCTGTGGTAGGTGATCACGAGACATCAACTGCTCATTCCTAGTGCAGGAAGGAAAGCCCAAGAGCCAGCTGGGCATAGCTTCACTCCTGAGACTTTTCCTGAGACCTTTGGCCAAATGCTAGTAAACCTGTATGACAGGGCAGACCGTCCCCATGATCTCGGTGATCGTATTTTGAAGTCCCTGCAGTTAGAAGTTTCCATAGAAGAGCAAACAAACTGGGACAGGAGGCCTTCACTGGTGAGCAGTGTCTGAGAGGTGCCCTCTGCTGTCCTGCTTGTCTGCCCCTTCCCCAGCCTCCCTCAGCTCCTTCTCTGCACCTGTATCTCACTGCTCTGCGGTCAGTTTGCCAAGGTCAGTAACCAACTTGCACTTTCTGTTTGAAGATCATTAAACTTTTCAGCTTAGAACCCAGTTCTTGGGGTTTTATTTTTTTAAATCTATTTATTTGTTTAAAAGGCAGAGTAACAGAGAAGCAGAGGCAGAGAGAGAGAGAGAGAGGTCTTCCATCCGCTGGTTCACTCCCCAGATGGCCGCAATGGCTAGACTGCGCCGATCTGGAGCCAGGAGCTTCCTCCAGGACTCTCACACGGGTGCAGGGGCCCAAGGACTTAGGCCATCTTCCACTGCTTTCCTAGTCACAGCAGAGAGCTGAATTGGAAGTGGGGCAGCCAGGACTTGAACCGGCACCCATATGGGATGCCAGCCTTACAGATGGCGAGTTTACTGGCTACGTCACAGCATCAGCCCCAGTTTTATTTGTTTTGTTCTCAAAATTAATCTCCCCTGAGAATATTCTGAAACTTTTACCAAGAAAACAGCTGGTGAAAACATAGGCTTATTTAGGAGCTACTCATGAAGGTAGACTAGACTAAGACTTAAAAATAAACAAGTAAATAAAGCCTGCCCTTGCATAACATGTTAGTATCTTTTAAATGCTCCCTCAGGGCCGTGCCATGGCTCACTTGACTAATCCTCTGCCTGCGGCGCCGGCACCCTGGGTTCTAGTCCCGTTGGGGCGCCGGGTACTAGTCCCAGTTGCTCCTCTACCAGTCCAGCTCTCTGCTGTGGCCCAGGAGGGCAGTGGAGGATGGCCCAAGTGCTTGGGTCCCTGCACCCGCATGGGAGACCGGGAGGAAGTACCCGGCTCTTGGCTTCAGATCGGTGTAGTGCCGGCCGTAGTGGCCATTAGGGGAGTGAACCAATGTCTTCCCTGAAACTCCTAAAAGCAGTGAGAGCTGTGTGCTCCTTGCACCTGACTGACGCCTGACTGGCTTCTCTTGAGACTGAGCTTAGAAGATGGTCCAGGGCTATCACCTGTGTCCCTGACCAACTGGTCGTGGTCAGCCTGTGGTCACCAGGACAGAGGAGGGCCTTGCAGACCAGAGGTTTAACCTCCTTGAAGTGTCACCGCCACCCTCTTCCGTTTCCGTATTATCAACCCCTCCCAGGCACGAATCCTCTGCTTCTGTCCTTGTCCCCTGTGCGCTCCTTGGGAACAGGCTGTGCTTTCCCAGTTTTCCCAGGTGTGGGCTCAGTCGAACGGTTTAGAAGATGAATGAAGCATATGAAAAATCAAACCTTTTGTGCTGCATAAACACCAAGGAAACCACTTGGGTTTCATCCGAATGTGTGGATGAAAGTGTCGGAGCTGCCTTTTCTGTTTCCCAAGGTGCATCCTGAAGACTTTCTATCCTCAGGTCTTGAGTGAGTTCTTTGTTCCCGACCCATATGCCAGAGGATGAAGTGGAGCAGCTCAAATCCAAGGAAAAGCCCCTGTCACGAAGCCCCCACCTGCCCAGCCTGCAGCCCAAAGCCAGGCCCCTGCTTCTCCCTCCTCCCTCTTGCTGTCGCCTTTCCCACACTGCAGAGTCCTGTTTTGCATCTGGTCCAGTGAAGGTGCTGATTCTCAGCTCTCTGGCTGGCTGGGAAGCTATGGCATGGCTCTTGGCCTCGGGCGCCTCAGCTTTCCACCCACCTAGTAGAGATGGTTGGCGCACCTGGGTCGCCCGCCCAGAGCAGTTTTGAGATGCATGTCCCTGTTCCTGGGGTCCTCGACACTGAGTATCTGAGGACGTGGCTCTGTGTTCAGGTTCCCTCTTTAGCAGTCTTTGTCCATTCATGCATCAGCATCACTGTACACTGAGGATTCTTCATAGAACACCTCCTTTCCTGACCCCTGGGGGTCTACAGTTGTCACAGACAGGAATGAGCCAAGGCCTACAAGGCCGGCAGGGGCTGTCCATTGGTGTACCATGAGGTTTCCTTTGAATTGTTTCAAAAGTAAAAAAAAAAAGTGTAAATCATCTACAGGCAGCTGTAGACGGGAGAGGGTGAGCAGGGGCCTCCACTGGGCAACACTGCATCGAGTCATATCCTCCAGCACCAGAATGGAACCTCAGTTTCCCCCTGGCTCCCTGGGGCTGGAGCCTCGCAGTGGGTGCTGTTAAAAGACTGCTTGAGCTCAACTCTTAGTTGCACCAGGGTCTGGTTGAGGGGCTAAGTGTAATAGGTGGATTTGTGCCTCAGGTTCCTCATCACTGAAAAACTGGGGCTCATGGGAGTACCCACCCCATTGGCTTCAGGTGAGACCAAAGCGAATTCATGTGAGGAGTTCACGGGCCATGGCACCTGCTAAGAACACAGTGAGTGCTCGGTGAGTTTGCCACATTCTGACTCATTTGTCCTGATGACTCTGTCTTGAGACCGGTGCACAGCACTTCTCTTTGAGGTCAGTTTGCAGCAGGCAGGCCTCTGTGCCCTGGAAGCCATATTTTTGTTCTGCTTGTCATGCTCCCTTATGTCTAAGTTTTCAGATTGTCAGCCCATTGTGCCCACCATGGGCCCTCTATGTTCTGACATTCCATTGGGTACTTTCACTTCATTGAGGAGTGAGACTGGCCTTTGAGCCCTGAGACCTCATGACAGTAAGACTGATAACTAACAGGGCTACCATCTGACCTGAGTGTACAGCACATTCATTGTAGGTGTGCTGGACAAGTGGATAGTCAGGTTGTGGGTGGGATGTTGCAGAAGACACAGGATGTCATCACAGTGCTGAGAACACGGGACAGTTTAAAGTTGATAAATTGCTTTTGCTTCTGGAATTTTCCATTCAGTTTTCCTGATTGTGATTGACCAACAGCAACTGAAACCTC